TAATTGGCTGGGTAGAACCAATACATGACATGGAGATGACTTGTTGACTCCACATTGCCCATGTCTGCTATGGTATTTGCATTTCTTGGTGCTAGGTGGTTGTTTGAGAACCAGATTAAGAGCTTCCAAAGTCCCTCTTTGTAAGTTTGACTCATTTTCCCTTGAAATCAGTCTGACCCCAATAATGTCATTAGTTCATTTGACGATGATGTTTTGCTGCTGAGCGCATGGGAAACTTGTTGAGCACATGCCTCTGTCATGCGACCCTGTCTTCTGTATCTTTATAAAGACTGGTGTAACAACGGGAGCTCATCTGGAAGCTGTTGTTACCTCAGGAGGATTAGGCCATAATGATAACTGGTGAATGTTTTAGACTAAATTTGGTCCCCATCCCACTTTAGATTAAGTTGTTTATCTATTAAGGAATTGGCCTTATTTTGCTTTTTTATATTTCTCAATCTCTAGGCCCTGAGTACCTGAAGAAGAGGGCTTTGCTAGAGGCGGTGGAAGACGGCGAGAACCCAGATACTGAAATACACGAGCCCCTGCTAGCAGAAGAGGAACCTCTGCTTGCAGATGAAGAGCCCCCGCCAACACCACCTGAGAGTCCAATACTAAATGAACTGGCCGGTCTCATGCCTGGCTCGTCTCCAGCACGAACCCCCTCCCCGAGCCCCGCCATAATCAGCAAGGAGGACCCCAAACTCCTTGGTCCAAGAGCCTGGAATGAAGACAAATCCATTAAAAGTACCAGCAGTAAGGGTAGCGTCAAACCTAGCAGTGTGCCTAGCAGTAGGTCCATCACTCCTTCGGTTTCAACTGCTGCACATGGCCTGGCTGCAGCTGAGGCTGAAGCAGCCTCTGGTAGTCGTCAACCGTCACGCTCCCCGAGTCGTCTGAGTAACAAGATCGAGCAGGGCTCAGACTTAGAGATCAAACCACTTCAGAAATTTGACTCTGAGGCAATGTCTCCAGATGTCACTCCAGCTGTTCCAGAAATGAATAGCTTAAGTTCACCTGATGAAGAAGAAACGGCCCCCCCTCGTGATACCAACATACCCCCAAAAGCTGTGACCCCTGAGCCCAAAGCCCCCGAGGCAAAAACCGAAAGATCTCTGCCGGTCCCTGAGCGACCACCATCCACCTCTGAGAGGAAAAGGCCATCCAGGGAGGGGAGCCGGCCAGGCAGCAAAGCAGAGACAAGACCAATACCAAAGCGGCAACCGAGTCCAGCTCCACCTTCCAAACGACAACCGAGTCCAGCGCCGCCTCAAAAACGACATTCAAGTCCTCCTCCACCTCCAAAAGCCATTGCTAATCATGAACCTAATGCCGTTCCAAAGGCAGTTGAAATCAAAGCAGCATTTGCAAAACCAGCAGCTAGGTTCCTGGTGTCGAGTAAACAGGGAACGGCAGAGTCTTCAGACCTGGAGGTGAGATGGTGAAAGTTATTGTTTATTTAAACGATGCAGCAGAGCATGGCTAAGTTAGAGGAGGGTAAATGACTGCACTTTGATACACCCAGAAACACAATGAGACAAAAGCAAGACAATTCAGTGCTGCACAAAACAGAAAAAATTGCACTGCTAAAAAATAAAAAAGAATAATAAAATCAATTATAGAAAATTTAAAAAAGTTGGACTACAAACTTTAAAGTCGTAGGGAAGTGGTTGTTCCAACGGCTGCATTTCCGAATTCTCCCGAGGGGTTCCCGACTTTACACGAGTGAATAAAGTGAATGTGATTAGTCAT